GAGTAAGACGTATAAGAAGAGAGCATGTGACGTCCAGAGGACGCTGACTGAGCGATGAGTAACGCTGAGTAAGGGAGCATAATCGACATAAGGTCAGATAGTCCATGGCTGAGTAATGCGAGTAATCCGGACGCTGTCTAGAATAGTCCGGAACATCGTAGAACGTACCAGAATCATGTGGAGGGATGGCAGGATGCCAAGTAAGTACAGAACAAAAGAATGTACGTATATGGTAAGTAGGAAAGTCCATGCTGGCGTATGGTAGACGCACAGCCACTATCACTGCCACTCCCGGTCCGGCACAGCCGTAGACACAGAAGTTCAACAGGAGCGAGCATCAGTACGAGCGCAAGCACGAGCACGGCCGCGGCGGCGGATATGGACATGGACGCCGCCACGGCTACAGGCATGGACGCGGACACGGGTCTGGATGTGGACACGGGCATGGACGCGGACACGGGTCTGGATGTGGACACGGGCTTGGATGCGGACATGAGCATGGACGCGGACACGGGTCTGGATGTGGACACGGGCTTGGATGCGGACATGAGCATGGACGTGGATACGGGCGTGGACGCGGACGCGACGGTGGGCGGCGCAGGCGTGGGCACGGACGCGACGGCGAGCGGCGTGGGCGTGGGCGCGGACGCGACGGCGGGCGGCGTAGGCGTGGGCGCGGACGCGACGGCGGGCGGCGTAGGCGACGATGGGCAAGACGCTGCTGTCTACCCTGCGCCCGACGTGGTTCATGACGAGGACGTTCCTGCACCGCCTCAACCGCCTCTTCACCATCCTTGCGCTTGCTCATTCTCACCCATCTCTCTTCCGACGCCGCTTGGAGGTTTCCCTGCCGTGTACCGCTCCGATCCTGAATCCCTGACTCGCAACATCGACGCTCGCCAGCTCGCAGAATGGAAGAGTCGCAGTCAGCGCACCTCCGCGGGTATCCAAGTCTATGGCGTTCACTATCCTACGCCTAACGTGGCCAAGCACACAACGGACGGCATTCAAAAGGCACTCTCCGCGCTCACCAAGTGTACCACTGTGGAAGTCTCTGCGCCGATCGCTGCGCAAGATGAGAACGGGGACGACTTGCTACCCCGCCCTGCCACCTACTTCGCGTACAACCTCACGGAGGAAGCCGCAGCAAAATTGAAGAAGCAACGATGCTGGTCGATGAACGCTATCTCCTTCTTCGCGTACGACCTCGATCCTGTCATCCCAGAGTTTCTCTTCACGCTCCACGGTTTCACCGGACGCGATCCAGAAGCTCTCAGTGAGACTGTCCGGAACACATTGTTCTCTACGGAATACCATTCCTTCACCGCATCCTTCGCCCTGAACGATCCTCAACTCTGCGGACGCCCTCTCGACTCCGTGATGGCGGCGCTCTCGCAGTCACTCAAGGTCCGCCCGTGCGGATCATCAGGCGTTAACGTCTACTGCACTTCGCCTACGACCCAACCGGACCTCTGGCGATTGTGGAGGGACGTTCTGGGATCCGCGAACTACACTCATATCTACTTCAGTACGGGTCGTCGCGCGCCAGATCTGATCTGCTCGGGCTGCCACGGTGCTGGTCATGTTCGGAAGCACTGTCCGTTCGGCACTCTCCTGGGGTGGAACGGCGCGCGTAGCTTGTAGAGCCAGAGCAATCAGAGATTTCGATAGCGACCTGCGGCGTTTCGACATAGCATACACGTCTTCCATGTAACGTTCCTCGTATACAGAATGTACTCTTCTCAGACGCGTACTCCGTGATATGTATAATATGAAGAACCTAGACCAAACGAACTACGTAAATCGTAGACGAATCCCGAGATGAGGGCCTCAACAACGTCGGACGGGAGTACCTCCTCCAGCAACCTGCGCATGGAGTATGCATAACTTACAAGAATTTCACGATATATAGTTCCCGTTGCCTTCAAGGCCGAGTCCTCGTGCCAGTCCCCGATCGGCATGAAGACCACCGCAAACTGGCCTCCATCAAAGTAAGATTGGAAGCCGAAGAGCTTTTGGAAAAGAACCTCTGTCCGTTCGACACCACGTCGAGACCGGAGTACGTCCGAGAGAGTATCGAGGAACGCGCAAGCGCGCGGCGCGCAATGCGAGATGTTGCCTCCATCCGCCGTGCCGATGGTCCTTGTCCACTCGCAGAGGGAGAGAAGTCCCCCTGGACGTAGAACGCGTATCGCGTCTGCCAGGAAATCTCCGTAGTCGGGGAGCTATGGCATCATTGAGCTCTCGTATCAACGAGTACGTGCAGCATCAAACTTACACCGAGTGAAATTAGACGGCCGTGGACGACATCGAAGGTGGCGGAAGGGTAGATCAAACCCCCCTTGCAGTCGTGTATATGAAAGGTGACGTTATCGGGAGGATACCGAGTGCCGATGGGAACTGTGCTTGACATCAGGATGCGTAGATTCGGATGTAATGGGAAGAGGGTGATGGCAGACGCACCTACGTCGAGTCCATGGAACGCTACCTCCGGCAGTTGTTCGGCAAGGTCGAGCATCCTGAGCGGAGCAGAGTACATGCTCATTGAGCTAGAGCGGGAGGGGATAGTAGCAATAACGCACCATGTCCCTAGCCCAGTCCCGACGTCCAACGCCCGGGGTAGTCCGTAGCGCCCCCTGGCAAGAACATGGCGTAGCTTTGCCAGGCAAATTTGTTCCGTTGTTCCTCTAAGAATGTTGTGTAGCGCTCTTTGACGCTTTCAGTCATTACATCAATCAGGGGAGCGCATAGACTGAAGTGCATGGTAGACGCACCTGATGCTCGTGTCCGTCGACCGGGAGCGGGTAGGAGCAAGTGGAAGAGTAAAGTCGGCCATTTATTTCGCTGAAATATGCTGGGAAGTCGTCCTCTTCAAGCTGAACTATGCTGTCGACGAGCTCGTCGCAGTCGCGTCGACCCGCTATCGCCGCGGAGACTCGAGATCGAATGGCCATGTTGAAGGGAACGGACAAGGAGGAGGGTTGAGGAGGGTCGCCAGTGGATATCAAAGGGGGGGGCATCGTACCCACGCAGGAGTCGCGGAAGCACGCCTAATTGCATGCGGAAACCGTCCGGCAAACACACGTTAGGACGCCGCGCGCTGCGAGTGTCTGCAATTGGTTAGAATCTTACGAGAACTCCTGAGGCGGTTGAGCGCGAACCTGACCATCTTCTGATGGCTACTTTGCTCAGGAGGTTCTGATGCTAAGGGAGACCTGGCACTGTGCAGGGTTCAGCATCGTCGGGCATCATTGTTACGTCCCAACCCGGAGTGTGGGGGCGGGTATTTCTCGAGTCCTGCGATCTGGAAAATCATCAAATCCTCAGAAGTTGGAACGGACGGTTGTGCGCGATAGCTCACTGATAAGCTATAGCAGATCCGATACGTCAGTCTGGTCTTTATGGCGTAGGGCCGTTTTTGTCCTGGAGAGCGCTAGTCCCGAAGGTCGGCCAGACGCGTGCGCGCGCGCGTACTCGCCCTAGATGTAGGCCGTCACCAGAACCGAAGAGCACATGCAAATAAAGCGGAGACACTAAGACAAAGGATAACGGCTAGCTGGGAAATTTACTAATTGCGCCGGCACAATGGCACCTCGTCGTTTTGGAGTTCTCATAGCGTGTCGCCTGAGCACAGAACCGAAAGCGCCCGGAAGCACCGGTTCATCACTCGTTACGGTTATGGTCACGGTCACATTGGACAAACAGACCACCACGGGACGCTGAGCGCTGAGCGATCATGAGAGCTGACTACTCAGTACTACCTGCTAGCGGCGCAAACCTGGAGGCAAAACTAGATACAGCGAGCTATTGGTGCGTGGGATAGATCGAGTAAGTGAAGGACGCCCCGTGCGGACCACTGTTTGGGGAGAAGCACAGCTGATGGCCAGGACAACCGCATTAGCCGCCGGTCACCCAAATTCCACGCTGAGGGACGGGAGCCAGCCACCGTATCAAGCTCGCACGTGTGAAGGCCTCAAGCCTCTCAGGCATGGGCTGAACCCCATGCGACAGCGAGTAAGGTTGCTAACCGCCGCCGACAGTCCCATATGCACTATTGACGCTGTCCAGCCTGCGCGAACAGAACGTTGGAGACTCGCCCAGGAGCAGATTGTTCGTGCCTCATACTACCCAGCCGCAACATAACGGAGTGTGATCATCGGAACGCTGGCAAGCGCACCACAAAATGGAGGGAATGTGGATATGAATGTTTTTCGGTGATGAACATTCCCAGCGGGTGGTCACACTTTAGCGCGACTTCGCCATCTAGAGCTGGGTATACCCCGCCGCTTTACGGAGCTCGCATCTGCATTGCCTCCGGGTCGCGTCTTCGCGTCTCCGTTTCTTCCGTCCTTATCCTCTGTTCTGCTCCCCCGCTCGTTCTCCGCTCGATTCACCCGCTCTATCACTCGGCCGCCCCCGAATCTCCCACCTCCGATTGACCCGCTCCGCCCACGATTCATCCGCCTGCGAATTGTTAGCTGAGTCGTTTAATCGCCTGCACCTCGGCCTCGCCGCCGGCTCGCCCTCCTCACCCGCTCCCCTCGCCACCCGCGCCCCTCGCCGCCCGCTCGCCCTCCTCACCCGCTCCCCTCGCCACCCGCGCCCCTCGCCGCCCGCTCGCCCTCCTCACCCGCTCCCCTCGCCGCTCGCTCGCCTCGCCGCCCGCTCCCTTCGCCGCCCGCTCCCCTCGCCGCCCGCTCGCCCTCCTCACTCGCTCCCCCCGCATGCTCCCATGCCCGCTCGTCCGCATTCCCGCTTCCCCGCTCGTCCGCTCGGTCGACCGTCCGCCTACCCGCTCGCAGGCCCTCTCGTGTTGCTGCCCTTCCGCCGCACTCTGGAAGACGGCGTCCTCGCGTTCACGCCCTGCCTTCACGCTCAACGTGGCTGCGGACGCTGCCACTCGACACACCTCAAAAATGCCTCGCGACTGCGCATGAGCTCTGGCGAGCCTGAACACTTACGGACATGATTGGGGGATCCCTGGAATCTGGGAGGCGACGTCAGGGAAGCAAACCACTCGTGGCGGAGCAGCAGCCCGGATGACGAAGAGCTCATCGTGGCAGCCAAGCCCGGTATAGATGGAGTGAGCGGAGCCGGCGACTTCGCTGGGAAACATCGGTGAGCACCATTCGTTAGAATCATAAGAGAATGCCACACACCTGTCTGACATCCACGCCGTTTTGTACGGGTTTCCGCCGGTTCAGTCGTACTAGCTGCACGCATATGCACTCGCCCTCGAATATCGTCCACCGCGCTACCACTTCCGGCATCTTATGTGGACAACGACCACACGAGCGGAGGGAAGTAGTCATCGCCCACCGAACCGGCACCCGCTTCCTCCGCCGCTGCGTCGTCTGCGTCGCCTTCACCAGCCTGTGAGTCGATCTCTATAGGAGCCCCCGCTTTGCTCCTTCCAACTCTAGCACCACGTAACGGTCACTCCGCCCCACGGCCCGCGTTCACCTTGCGCTCGCCTCGTCGTACGACTTCCACCCGACTTCTGCCGGACGCTGCTCAACACAACCCAAGCACATTGGCGGCGATGTTGGTGCGTCCCGTTCCACTTCCCGCGAGTCCACTGCACGCCGTCTGACCCGGCGCCGAACGAGACAGCGTCGCGTCGCGAGGGTACGACTCGGAGGCGGCAACGTGTTCAACCGCAATATCGCGAGCTTGCGACGCAGACACACCGCGGCGAGGGCTCTGAGGCGTCGTCGAGGGCGCACACTCGTGTCACTCAAGATTGGGCCGGCGCGGTGACCGACTGGATCAGCGGGTAGAGGACGTCGTTGATTGCGAGCAGAGGTACGGAGAACGGTACGCGGGAAGGTATGTCTGCCCACTTCCCCGCTCTCTGAGTCAGGCGTGACCCGACTCGGCCTCCGCAGGCCTACGCTTCCCCGCTCTCCCTCTGCCCTGGGCCCGTGATCGTTCCCTGGGCGTGCTCTTGTCCACCACCGTCTTGTCTGGTCGCCATCATCCTTCACCGTTCTCCTTCACAACATCCTACCGGCTCTCTGAGTCAGGCGTAACCCGACTCGGCCTTCGCAGGCCTGCGTTTCTTTATCCTCCTTATCGCTGCGCTCGTGATCCCGGATGGTAGTGGCGATGCCAGCGCGGTCATCTGTCAAAAGCCGTCCACCAGACCGCAGCTATAAAATGCCCGCCCTCAGAACGTGCACTCTTGCGTCAACATCCCAATCATTATCATGTGTAACGATGTCGGCGCCAAGTATTCGCTCTTGACATTCAGCATTGCGGCTCCTCGCGTCGCGCCCCTGCAAATGTGTATCAGAATTAGCTCAACCTGGAGAACTGTCACGAGGCTTCAAAACGACAGCTGATATTGCATGGTATGTATAGGCTTCACTCCAACCTATGATATTCCGCTTCCAATGTTCAAGACTTCAATTCAGGTCCTTGTCAATCCCCTACCCTTGCGCTCGTCGTCACTCGGTACAACCAACTTGGGAACTTCAGACCTGAGCCGTTCTGGTACATCTATTCGTGGTGAGGAGACCATCTTTGCGTAGAGGAGAGGGTTTCTATACGATATCATGAACGCGATGGCCTTGCATGATGCGCCCCTCGAGCACGCCATGGCTCGAGCATGGTCGAAGATACCAATAAGTGGTAAGTAGCACCGTTGGGATAGGAAATCGCTCCAGTGACCGCAGTTTGTAGGAGGTAGATTTGCGTTAGTTGAAGATTTTGCCCAAACGGGTGCTCGACGTAAGTGGGCTATCTTATCCGCGCACTGAAACCGACGTCTATGAACTCGACAGGAAATCCAACCGCCCACCCCGCATGGCGTTTATTTGCTGGTGGGTAGGAGTCGTTGTCCGTTCGTATAATTGACTTGCACGCTCTCACTATCTTCACTAAGCTTGCAGAACGGATGCTTTAATGCGCCGAGACAGGGCAGATACCCCCCAACTCATCCTGACGCGCATGTAGGGAATTTCGCTGGGGATGAAAAGGGCTTTACGAG